GCTTACAAACAGATCATATGTTAAAGAAACTGATTTGGAACTGCTGGGTTTTTTAAAAAAAATAAGGTTTAAATAAAATGATTTGGAACACCTATCATTTTAAGGTTAACATATGCTATAAGGCCCTACTATGACCCAAAAATGGGAATGACAGTGTGCTAATGGAGTACTTTAATGAGATATAATTATATTGCACTTAGACTCAGTGAGAGTTTCCTAATGGATGGTCAAGGATATGACCACTGTATATATTCTGAAAAATGAAGAAAAATTAAAAATAATTACTCTAATTTCTAATTTCACTTTATAAGTGACAAGATAATTTTTACGTATAGTTCAGGATTTTAGGATTGATCCTTGCCACTTAATGCATTACTATAAAATGACTTTTGTTCATCAACTTATTTCTATAATTCATCAAGTTAACCTAAATACCAGCTAATACTGAAGCTAGGTCTGTGCTCAGAAGCCTCAGCATGGCTAATGCAATCTCACAAGTCAGGTAAAAGATCTTCTATATAAGTCACTCATAAATTAATAAAAATGTTTATGGAAACTATTTACCCTAAGAAAATTAGAAGACTGTTAAAAATACAAAATAAAGGGAAAATTATCGTACTTTTGTAAAGTATGAATTTATCTTGCTTGAAGAGTTAAGTCTCATTCTCCATGGTTAACGCAGGATTGCTCATACCTTAATGAAAGAACATAAGTTAGCATTTTCGGTTGCTTTTGAACAAATAAGCAAAAACTTGTTATTCATCTATGAATTATGAATCCCTTGGTAGACTTCCAAAGGTGCCTTGTACACAATAAGGGTATATATAAGATGGTTATATAGAAACACACACACCCCTTACACAGTGTCAGTTACAACCACTATCTCTCTCTACCGCACACACAAAACACTAAAAACAAATATACATCTGAGGAAGTAGAGGAACGTAATAATGAAAGATATATTGACCCACACTGCTCACATCAGGTTACATCGACATTTCCAAATTCTTCCTCTACCAACCTCATTCTAGTCAAACCAATCTTTGAGCGCTTTCTCACCTCATTTTTCTTGTTTCTTTTCCTTCCTATACATCATCTTTTAAACTTTAAGTAGTTCTTCATTTCACCCATCCAACTAACAAAAAAATTAATCGAACATGCCGAAGAATTATAACAGCATGTGAAAATCAAGAAACCACTGCTATGTTAATACAAATTATATAAGATGAAACGTTAATCCCTTCTGGATGAAGAGGAGTTGCTTTTTTTCCACTTCTCAACAATTGACCCCCAACTATTTCTCACCTCTCTGCCTCTAAGGAAACTGATGGATTCAAAGAACAAATTGGTGTCATCAAAGTTTGTTTAGGCAATGCCTAGTCCTTGCCATAGATTAGAAAGTGAAATGGCATATTTGAAGGTCGAGAGAGTGACCAAATTATGAATAGTCAAATCATGGGACTCTCTGGGAGGAAAATATATTTGTTAAAAATAAGGCTATTTAAAGAAAGCTTGTATTTTAGGAGAAGACGACTGATAATATATGAAATAATGACTAGAATATTTACTTGGGATCATCCATTTGTTTTTCACTACCACTAAATCCCAAAGGTTTCTTCAAACTCTCATGTTGTCTGACTTTGGTTCACTACATTTTAAAACATTGACCGGTTTATTTGAAAAGACTAGAAATGAAGGAGAAAAGGTTAGTAGTCAGTCTGAAGATTTTCTGGCTAATAACACCTTAATCATAGATGTATGGCTTTAACTCCTTTATGTGGACACCACACATACGTACACACATATGCATGTATGATCACCCTATTTTGTCTACTCCTTACCAACACTGAGAAATAGGTAGTCTTTGGAAAAGAAGGAAGCTAAGTCTAAAAGATGTTGGGTAACGTAACAAATATCACACACTACTGGGAGCCTAAATTAGGATTTTTAAATCAGGTCTGACTTTGAAGCCTTGCTTGTTCCTTGCTAATAAACTACACTGACTGAAGAAAACAAAAGATTAAAATCAACAACAGTAACAAGAGGAATGTGAGTGAGACATGAAGAAATCTCAGGCAGCTGAAGTTACGGTAATTACGCAATAACTTTACTCAGACATTTTGAAATTGGACAGAAATCTTAGAGTAAAATGACTGAATAATTTAAGGTCCTTTTCAGTAGATATTTTTCTACTATCTGATTTGATTGTAGTGTTTTTCACTTTTACACTTTATATTTTGAATTTACTTCTATCATTTTACTTGAGGAATGTGATAAAGATTTGGTTCTTTAAACAGAAAAAAGGCAATGCAGATCCATCTTTCACAAAATGATTTTCTGCTGCTAACAGGTATTAACGAACCTCATGAATAGTTCTTTGAAAATAATTCTGAATTTAGAATGGGAATCTGACTCCAAACTAAGAAAAAGTCTGTGGGTAATATAATGGATTTTTTTAAAACCATGTTTACCTTCTAAAAATAAAATATATCAAAAGATAGCCAAACAAGCACACCCTTACCTGCTTTGCATTTTCCTAGGTTTGTGCTGCTCTCCGTCCAAGACTGAGAATCAGTAAGAAGGTGGCTCTGGGACTCTCTCAATGGCTTTGCAGGAAACTGATGGTTTTCGGAACTGAATAATAATTGAATAATCATCAAAATCATCATAAGCTAATTTTTGATAGTAAAGTTGATTGTTTCTCAATGTACGGAACCAAAACCACTTGCAATGCAAGATGATTGCAGGAGGTACACAAAATAATGTGGGGAATACAAGAAGAAGACATTAAATAGCACTGACTAGTGGTGAGAAAAGTGTTCTCTCTTCAGTCTCTTTTCCTTCTTCTGCTTACGGTAAGACGACAATCTCTAACAGTGGCAAATCTCCAGAGAATAGTCCTCAGCCCCAGGCTTTAGCAGGTAGTTAGAACTTAATAATAGTATTTTATTATCAATTTTATGTATGTATTTATGTTTGAGGCAGATTCTCACTCTGTTCCCCAGGCTGGAGTGCAGAGGTGCAGTCATAGCCTCAACCTCCTTGGCTCAATCAATCCTCCTCTATCAGCCTCCCGAGTAGCTGGGACCACACCACCACCCTCAGCTAATTATTTTGTTTTGTTTTTTGTAGAGTGGTCTCCCTATGTTGTCCAGTCTGATCACAAATGCCTGGTCTCAAGTGATCTTCCTGCCTTAGCCTCCCAAAGTGCAAGGATTACATGCATGGGCCACCACGCCTGCCCTATTTTTAAAGTTATATTCTATTTATAGAAAGCTATGCCAGTTTCTCATTTATGAGAGTGGTATAAACTTTGGTTTAAAAATAAGCATAAGTGCCAATTTAAATACAGAAAACTATTAATTTTGTAAGTGATATGTGGATATGGAAGAAAATATGAATGTCATGGTAGGAAGACAAAGTTGAAGAAAAACTGGCCTACAGCTTCTAAAGTGGCCTAAATGGTCTTGAACACAATTTTCTCTATCTTCTTCTGTAAAACTGAAACAAAAAATTTGAGCAAACTATCTTGTAGGAATATAAAACACATCTGAAATTATCAGGTCTTACAAACCCAATGTTCAGTCTGGGGAGTGAGGAGTCTTGTAAGAAGTATTTTCTTTAAAATTTAGGTGGAAATGCCATACATCAACATATTGGATGGCATGAAAAAATATACATAAAAATATTTCACTTAGGAAACATTATTGGCATAGAAACTATTAGTGATGTTTTAGAATGTTCTGAAATAGTAATTGTATAGTATTCAAAAGAAAAAGCTACTTAAAATTCTTTCAAGAATAATTTCACATATTTGAGTTCAACTATATATAGTAACTATCATGTTTTTAAAGGATATATGGGTATGCTTTTTCTTCTTAATTACCTCATATCTAAAATTTTAGAATATTTCAATTTTGTGTAGCTTTAACAACTCCTTATTAAAATTTTGGAGGTAAATCTTAAAAAATAGAAAACAGCCTATCTCCATACAGGTTTAAATATATTATACAAAATATCTTACTTTAATTATTACTCTTCAAGAAAGGGACCATATAACAGGTACAGAAGACTAACTA